TAGTTGTTTCACGAATTGTCCGTGCTTTGGGGAACTTCTTTGTACCTATTGTCCATGCAGCTTTTTGCTCACAAGCCTTCAAAACGATGTCTGTGCGTCTCCAGCGAACCCCTCAGTCGCCTGTTTGCGCCAGCTGACCCCTCTGTCCACTTCGGAGTGGCAGGAAGATGGGGGGCTTGCAGGGCTTGCAACATCCGGGCACGTGGAATCTGTGCAATTCGCTTCGCTCTTCATCTGATCCGCCAAGCTGCAAAGGATCAGCCATGCAGCTGCCAGCGTTGTAGCCAAATGGAAGCGAAATTCATGAAAGGCCTGAAGAGCAAAAAGGCAAGCTGAGCAACCATTGATTGCCATTGATGATCTCCCAGTCGCCGCTTACAAAGCAGATTCCTTTCTAAACGGCGAATGGCTAAGAATTTTGGGCAGACTCTGCCGAGAGGCTCTACGCGATGGGCAGCCTTGCGGCTTGCCACCCGCGGAACCCACCCCGCATAATCGCGACTCTTTGCCCCTGCCGCGCATGGTTTTTGAACCAGCTTGCATGCTGTGGTGCCCTGTCAGCTGAATGCTGACAAAATAGCACCACCAATGGGTATTTTGCCCATTGGTTGGCGTTTGTCTGAAGCCTTGCTTTGACATTTCAGTCCGGCCCATGAACAAGAACCCCTTTTCCAAGCAAGAAAAGCACATGTTTGTGGCAGGAAAGCTCGATCAAGTACATATGTAAAGCCCTACTATACAGGTCTACATTGGGGAGCCTCTTTTGGAGGACAAAGTTTGGAGCAACGTCAAGGCCCAAGGTGCTGGGCAAAGAATGGTAAAGTGACACTGCCGTTAGTCCGCTTGATGGCCGGGACGTTAATAGCACCGTGGATGGTTCCGACATTCCGGTCACCATCACGCAGGTCCACCAGTAAGCATTTCCCGGCTTGAAGGAGTGCTGCAACCTCGCCTTAGGCATCTTGGGCCGAAAGCATCCAAAATGCCTCAAGCTCCCTTCATAACTCTTACATACTCTTACCAACATATTATACTAGCTCAACCAAAAGAAGGTCCTCTAAGTCTTTCATTAGTTTGGCTGCAAAGTCACAAGGTTCGAGAACCTCAACACCCGACTTTCCGTGAGAAATGGTCGCCCCATTCACCATGCCAGTCTGTCTGAATCCCTGAATTTGCTGCACAGGGCCTATTGCATAGGGTGCATTCGCATGCACCTGAACAGCTGCAGGATTTGCAAACTGTTGAGTTGCCATTGCCACATGCTGCGCCCTCACATGCTGCACCCGAACACTGCTCTGCCATGGCCTAGCCGTTGTGGTCATCGGCATATACGAGACTGCTCCTCTGCTCAGAACTAAGCGCTGAGCCAACTGAGCCGGGACCTTCAATTGAGAGCATGGCAGTACCATCGGGCACGGTGCAATCATCATGCTTTGGACGTGGGTGGAACTGTTTT